TTACAGTCTTGTAATGGTCCTTACTGAGTTGTTATTTTCTTGTGTGTCTGTGTCCTGCCACTCTTATATGCCAATAAACATTAAGAATATCAATGTATAAAATTGATATGTTTTTGAGCCAATAAAAAATAAAATTTTTAAAAGCATTATAGTTTGAATACTTTGTATACTAGGATAGCAAGATGGATGGTAGGTCCCAAGATTGTGTATTTCATATAAATGTTAGTTTCATCTTACATGGTTTTAATTTACATGAAATTTTTGTGAACCAGTCTATTGTGTGAATTAAAGATGTGTATAAATATTTTAAGAAAAAAATTCCATCTGTCTTTGAATGATGATATAAGTAGTATTTTTGAAAAAATTTATTGATATTCTCCTAAGAATTTGGTTTTTACATATAAATGTCTTTTCTTAAAATTATTTTCATTATAAAATATTTGCATTTATTGTTTTGTGAAAATTATCTGTTTAAATAATATAGCAATATATATATTTTTTCATTTTTTGTTTATGTTTTGCATACAGAAACAAATTCAGGTATCCCTCATATATGGTAGTTACATTCCAAAAAAGTGTTGTGTTACATGTATCTGTGCTATACAAAACAAAAGACTAATGCAAAACATAGGATTAAGTTCTAAAAGTTAGCAAAAGTATACTATTCTTTTCTATCATTAAGAGAAATATGTTTATTAAAGCAATCAATAATTAACTAAAATCACAATTAAAAGTACTGTACTGTCATCTTCTAAGCTGTTTTGTTGATCTTGGACAGATATTGGCAACATCTTCATTTTTCTTATTTTTATTATAAAAATTTTTTGTGGATGACAAAATAAAAATATGTTTTTAATAAAAAATTTGTTTTAGGGGACCCTCATTTGTTCAGTCAAGTACCAAGTGATTTTTCACCAGAAATTGTGTTCAGATACCAAATTGTTTGAGTTGGGAACAGTTCAAGTATTGAGATATGGCTATATTTTGTTAATTTTTGTGAATAATTACTTATTTATAGTTATAAAGAACTTTAATAAAACCTACCTAAAAATGTTTAAATAAACTTTACTAAATACAAAGATTAATGTATAAAAACAAAACATAGTGACAGTCTTAAAGGCTAAAGTCTGAAAGCAATGACAATGACATCTGGTTGATAGGAAAGCTACGACAAGGAAGTAAAAACATGCACTGTCAATTTTGTGAAGACCCAACCGAGGTCCGAATCATGTAAATCGCGATATTCCTATGATTAAATAATAACGATAGATTAATTATGAGAGGGAGAGGAAAATCCCATAATTTAAACAACGCGGCACAAAATGTAGACAACGAGTCTCGGATGACTCGAACACGTGTTAAACTAACTGTCAATGTCAGAATGAAAAGTTATAAGTCAGAGACAAGTGGTCATATGCAGGTAGAACTTTGACCCCAGCGCTCATAAACAGTCAATCTAGGGAAACAATTTCTGAAAAGAGGGAAAGATTTAAGAGAGATAAATCATTGCATATGATCGTTCGAGTACCCAGATGACAGAAATCGCGAGTAACGGAGCTAAATTATGAGCGCGAGTCTTGCAATTTTGTCAACAATCGACAGAACGGCGTCGAGCAGACACCTGGAATCGGACCTTTCCCGTGACCTGAGGCGGTCTCAGTTTATCCCAAAACAAAAGAGAGACCAATCGGGAAGCGAGAAAGGGGATGAAGGGCCAATCGGAAGTCCGAATAGTGGAAGAGAAAAACTATAAAAATCCGAAATCCGAGGTCAGGGGGGCTCTCCTCCGACTCCACGAAAGGTAGTGACTTCTATTGTGGTGTGTCGTCGCAAAGGAACTGTGGACTCCGCCGCTTATATCTTCCGATCGTCCGCCGTGATCAGCAACAGCATCTCGTCCGCCCCGGGGCTACGACCGACGCCGAAGTTCTCACACTCCGCATCTTCGAGGGAAGAAACTAGTGAAGGACTGTCGACTGCCGATGTAAGCATATGTTAACAAATAAACGGCTTTCTTGTGTAAAACACTTGTCGTCATTTGCCTCCGCCGTCACCGCCCACATACAACCTTCCCTTAGGTCCATCCTGACGCGGGATTAATAGATCCCACCTTGGAGACGGCAACTTACACAGGTGCCGTGAAGTGGGTTTCAAGCCCCCTATCTCCCCCGGATTGGCCATCTTACAATTTTCATTAAAGTAAACTTGATGAAAGGCACAAAACAAATTGAAAATTTCAATATTCTAAAATCTATGGGCAAATTTGAGACAACACTCAAGCTTATTTGAATAAAAAAAATATTGAATAATGAAGTTTGCACTTAAAAATTTGTACAAATGATTTCTTGAACCATATTAAAGTGAAGCTGGAAACCATGTTGTTTAGGACATATCCCCAATTTTTCAACCTTGCTAGAGTGAAATTATGTTGTAGAATGCCATGCTGTATGAGGGATACCTGTATATGCAATTTTTAATATTGTTTTTGACTTTTTTATTGATACAATATAACAGTATATTAATATGTTAATAATGAGCATTAATAATTATTTTGAAAATATGTTTTAATTAAAAATGAAGTAATAAATATTTATCTGGTGTGTTTTATACTAGGCAAATTCTCCTATACACCTGCCATAAATTTTCTAAAAGAAAATTGTTAGAATTTCATAAAATAGCATGTATGCTTTAAACAATAAATATTTTTCATTTTTTAATCTTTTTGATTTATAATACCTAATAGAATATAAATAATAATAATAATAAATATAAGTTATTACATTCTAAAGAAACTATATGTCATTTGTTTTAACTTAAAATAGTTTATTATTTGGCAAATTTTCAACTCAAATCAAAATAGAATATGTTAGTATGATTCCAATTAAATTTACTAAAACTATGTATTGAATTATTTATGTAAGTTGCTTTCTAATATTCTTAATATTCTGCATAATTTTTTGATTATTATGTTAATTTTTAAAATTACGAGATCAAACCTTTAGTTATTAGATGAATTGACTCAAGTCAAATAATAAAATTTTCATAATTTAACATTTCTTTTATTAAGTAATTCAATAGATACTAGATTTTAATCAAGGTCTTTAACATTTAGATTTCTGTGAATAAAATATTTTTGTTTAAAGAAAGCTGATTTATAACATAAAAGCAAAAAAATTGATATGACCTTGAACTTACTAGAGTTTAAGAATGCATAAAAATAGACCAAGATCATTTACTTAGAATTTCATTTATTTTGGTTTCAAGATATTTCTCTCTCCTTATATTTTATTTATAAAATATTTATCATTTATAACTTAAATTACAAAAATATATATCTAAATAAAAGTAATACTTGATATCACTTAATCATTTAATGTTTTACACCATATATTAAGCGATATTTTGTGTAAAACATTAAATTAATTACAGTTATTTAAATTTAATGATCTTATTTTTATGATTTATTAATAAAAAAAAATTATTATGAGGAATAAGAGACATAAATATTTATATTAGCATTTTTTTAAATATAAATTTATATTATAAATTTAATTGTAGAAATTTGAAAAAATAATGGTATTGTAAAATAATCATCATTCTATCCAATTAGAAAGATGAAAAAGTTTGTATAGTTTGTTAAAAATTTATGAAGTCATTTACTTTACATAAATAATTTTTTTATATATTGAAGTAATAAAATTTCACTAATAATTTATTTAAAACAAGAAAGGCTAAACAAATATTTTCTAGTGATAAAATACTTATTTGTACATTAATCTATTGACCTTGATAAACCTGTTGGGATGACATTATTTCTTAGACTAATACTATATACAGTATACATATATGTTTATTTAAATTAATACAAAATTTTCAACCCTTTACAATGTGTGGAATAAAATAATAGAAATACATCAAAATAAAATTACATACAAAATTCAAATAAATTAAATTTACAATATATAATATATGAATGTACATAAGAAAATTTAGCACAAATATAGAATTACAAGAAAAATAAATTTATATGTTATCTCATATTTCAAATTGAAGATAAATTTTATTAGTTTCTAAATGTTTTAAACACTAAAATATATTTATTACATCTGGATGATTTATTTATGGCAGTTTTTCTGCATAGGAAATACATGCTAATATTTTGCATTTGTATACTTATGATTGATGATAATTCAACATTTGTAAAAAATTTGCCAGGACAAAAATTTTTAAAAATTTACAAAATTACATGTTTACATATTGAGGCAGATGAGTAGCCTCAAATAAAAAGTTGACTCTGCTGTGGAACTGTTATTTTCCTTGTGTGCATATGAGAAAGTACAAGTGAAAAGACACTTTTTTGTATTGTCTATTTAAGAATTTTCTTAAATTTTGTAAATTTTTAATAATTTAACAGTGTTTTCAAATGGAATATTATAATATGTTATTATTAGTGAAATGGAATAAATTTAAAATCAAAAAGTATTGTAAGTAAAAAACAAGTAAACATGTAAATGCAACCCCCTTGTAATAGGGATGTAATTCCCAATGTACAATAAATAAATGATGATATTTCAAGATAATTTAACAGTGTTTTTCAATTTATTATTTCAGATGTGATGATAAAATTGCATTGTTTTGTCATTAATTATAGATATTATAATTAGGATATGGATTTTTATTAGAGAATAATGACAAATATCAATTGTTTCAGATGTGTATTTTAAATTTTTTTTTATTTCATTCTTCTATTAAAACATGCTGATGATGATAAATTTAATGTTATGGAAAATACTTGTGAAATATATATGATTTGCTTTTAACAAGTTTGTTATTTTTCTTGAAAAAACTATTATACTAAAAGACAGTTCTAGAATACATATCTGTGTATTTACACTTTTTTTTTGTTTTATTAAATTTTCTATCTATCATTTAATTAAGTATAATTATTTTGTCATCATAAATATAATTTTTTATATAATAATGATTAAATTTCTTTCTAGCAAAAATGTGATTGGACTCATCCTCCTGCAACAGAAATTTATCGTCAAAATGATCTCTCAGTGTTTGAAGTGGATGGTAACGTGAACAAAATTTATTGTCAAAATTTGTGCTTGTTAGCAAAACTTTTTCTGGATCATAAAACTCTTTATTATGATGTGGAGCCATTTTTATTCTATGTTCTAACCAAAAATGATCAAAAAGGATGTCATCTTGTTGGTTATTTTTCAAAGGTAATATTATTTTATTTTAAGAACTTGAAAGAAATAAATATTTGAAATATAATATAACAAGTATATAAAATGAAAACAATATACATAAATATAAATATTTAATCATGTTTGTGCTGCAAATAAATATTTTAAACTTTAACATTATTTTCATATTGAATATAATTCAAATTCAAAAGTAATTACCAATCACTTATTTTAAAATGTTGTCTTTTTAATTTTCACAATTTAAACTAATCCTGTTAAATATAAACAGATTAAAATTTAATTTTATNAATTATAACTAATACCAGACTGTAGAAGACTGATAGATCAAATTATAAATTATGTTACTTTTTTAATATAAATATACATAAAAGTACATAGTACATAATCTCAAATTTTTTATCTTAGAAGATAATGTAACAAAACTCAACAGCAGATTTTGGAAGAGGAAATATATAGTACATCAGTAAAACTTGATGGACAAATAAATCATTACTAGCAGATAAATTTAAAAACAGTGGCAGAAAAATTGAGTTTCTTGTTTTTTTTTTTTAATCAATGTTTTGTTCATCATTTGTAAATCAGTATCCTGTCAGTAAAGAAATTTGAGTTTTACTAATACATACATTATTTGCTAGGAATTTAATGGAGAGATTTGATTAAATATTGGCAGTAATTAATCTTATCATTTATTTACGAACATTACATTATCCAGAAACTATTTACACATTGAGTACCAAAACAGTTTATTATTTTCCATTGTAATGAACAACTACACTTTTTACTAAAAACACTCATAAAGATAGATGCCAAAATTTTTGACTTTTTATGACAAAGAAGAACGGTGTTTTCATGTCATAAAAATTTCCTGAAAATATGTTGTTATGAAATATGGATCCGTCATTACCTTACAACAATTAAATTCTGTCATTTCCTTACCGGACAAATTATTGTTTGTATGTTTTGAAGTAGGAAAGGTGATTCATGTGAATTTTTTACAATTAGCATCAAATAAACATGAAGTCCTGCCAGATACTATAATAAATCCTCTGTGATTTAAGATAAAATTTATTGCATCTATTTTGGGTTAGTCTGAAACATTTTCATCTTTTAGTTACTAAAATTTTTTCTTTATAGTCAACATTTCAATAAATTGAAGTGATTTAAATACTGGCTAAACTTAGTTTTGGATGCTTGAAAAATCTTTCAATATTACAAACTTATAGGCTGCTTTCAGACAGGCTACTTGGTTATGTGTACCAGAAACTCATAAGCTTCACTAAGTTGCACTACTTGGTGGTATATGTGAAAAAGACATGCTACTTACTGTTATGCTATATATATTTCTGCTCATTATGACTCTGATGAAAACTTTTCTTTTTTGCTCTCCTCCTATGATGATGATGTCTACCACAATGACAGCAATCCAATGACATCATATTGCATAAAATGTTTATAGATGCTATGAACTTTACAAGTTACAAATTACAAACAAAATACATTGAATAAAAAGTTTAGTAATAAACTACAAGTTTTTTACAATCATTAGTTGTAGCAATTTTGATTGTGTAAAGTTACTTATAATTAGTAACAAGCTGCAAATATGTCAACAAGCTAAAAGTATTATAAGTCTTGTAATTTTTATGTAGCAGGGCCCTGAACATTTGATAATTGAAGAGTACTATGCAGCATTAACTTTTCATTGATCAATTTTAATAATAAATTTATCTGTATAAAAATTTGCCACAAATCTGGTCTGGTTTTCCACCCTGAACATGAGGTTAGTTCAATTATTTAACATTATCACCGAAAGTAGTTTGTATGGAAATCTCAACACCATGCAAAGATGGTGTTTTCTGGTGGAGATTTGCATCTCTGCCAAAGATGTGTACCACTAAAACCAGTGTGAAAGCATATTTTCAAAATACAAGGATTTCAGTGGTGAGATGAATGGACAGGACAAAGTAGCATCATTTAGTGGTATGACTGAGTAGCCCATTTGAAAGTGGTCATACTTCTTATTTTAGTTTATGCAATTTAATTTTTGCATTGTTTGAGTAATAAATATTTTTTTCACTAGTTTCATAAGTAATTGAAAGTATCCTGCCAATGGTGGTTATTCTTTTTAATTTATTAAAAGTTAGTTAACACAAATTATAGAATAGAGGAAATATTTTTCTAATTTTAATTTTGTAGATTTTAATAATTAATGTGTGATTTGTTGTCTTTTATAAAATAAATTGTTTTATTATTATTGTTGTTGGAGATAGAGAGTAAACTTTTAAAAAATATTATGAATAATTCATTCCTTTATTCGAAGTTGTATTCCAAAGCTGAACTGCACAGCACTCAAAAACATTTAAGTTCTAAGTAGATACTTTTGATTTTAAAAACAAGATGAATGTGTTTTATTATTGATTTTAAAGTCAAAATTTGATGAAGAAATAATTCATATTTTTAAAAAATTTATTGTTTTTTCCATCATAAGATCATTTTGTGTAATCTAGAAACATTGCATTCCTTGTAATAAACTCTTTCTTAAAAAGTAATTTTTTTTTCTTGTATGTACAAGAGAAATCTATAAATACTCTAAAAAAATATAGAGTCTTCCAAATACAGATTCTGTATTTGGAAGACTCTATATTTAAGTCAAACTAAGAGGACATCTCATCATATGCATACTGATTCTATTTTGCTATGAGACTTTTTTGTTTATATAAATCAAGCTCTTAAAAGTAGATTAAATTTGTCCATCTAAAAAGGACAGTTGTTTTTACCAGCAACTATTCTTTTTTAGATAGAAAGTTGATACAACTACAACCTTTTATGTTTAGTATTTTTTTATTTCTAATTATCCAATTGTAGCTTAGTGTGAGACTTGGTTATTACACCTTTTTCCTGGTTTTATATTGTATTCTATTATTTTGAAATTTTTCTCAGGATTATGACTTATTGTTATTACTGATGTAGAGTGATTTCATGGATATGCATGGTTGAAAACTAAATTTTTCTACCAGAAAATGAATGAAAGTAATATAAATTGAAAACATTTCTGACTGAAGTAAATAATTTTTTGAACAGATTGTTTAAAATTTAATGCAAATAGAACTATTGTTTATAAGCATATCATAATAATTAGGACTGTCAATAAATATGAAATGCATATCAGTAAATGATTTCTAATTGATTAAAAACAAATAAAATCTATTTTAAGTTAAAATATATTTACAGTCTTGTAATGGTCCTTACTGAGTTGTTATTTTCTTGTGTGTCTGTGTCCTGCCACTCTTATATGCCAATAAACATTAAGAATATCAATGTATAAAATTGATATGTTTTTGAGCCAATAAAAAATAAAATTTTTAAAAGCATTATAGTTTGAATACTTTGTATACTAGGATAGCAAGATGGATGGTAGGTCCCAAGATTGTGTATTTCATATAAATGTTAGTTTCATCTTACATGGTTTTAATTTACATGAAATTTTTGTGAACCAGTCTATTGTGTGAATTAAAGATGTGTATAAATATTTTAAGAAAAAAATTCCATCTGTCTTTGAATGATGATATAAGTAGTATTTTTGAAAAAATTTATTGATATTCTCCTAAGAATTTGGTTTTTACATATAAATGTCTTTTCTTAAAATTATTTTCATTATAAAATATTTGCATTTATTGTTTTGTGAAAATTATCTGTTTAAATAATATAGCAATATATATATTTTTTCATTTTTTGTTTATGTTTTGCATACAGAAACAAATTCAGGTATCCCTCATATATGGTAGTTACATTCCAAAAAAGTGTTGTGTTACATGTATCTGTGCTATACAAAACAAAAGACTAATGCAAAACATAGGATTAAGTTCTAAAAGTTAGCAAAAGTATACTATTCTTTTCTATCATTAAGAGAAATATGTTTATTAAAGCAATCAATAATTAACTAAAATCACAATTAAAAGTACTGTACTGTCATCTTCTAAGCTGTTTTGTTGATCTTGGACAGATATTGGCAACATCTTCATTTTTCTTATTTTTATTATAAAAATTTTTTGTGGATGACAAAATAAAAATATGTTTTTAATAAAAAATTTGTTTTAGGGGACCCTCATTTGTTCAGTCAAGTACCAAGTGATTTTTCACCAGAAATTGTGTTCAGATACCAAATTGTTTGAGTTGGGAACAGTTCAAGTATTGAGATATGGCTATATTTTGTTAATTTTTGTGAATAATTACTTATTTATAGTTATAAAGAACTTTAATAAAACCTACCTAAAAATGTTTAAATAAACTTTACTAAATACAAAGATTAATGTATAAAAACAAAACATAGTGACAGTCTTAAAGGCTAAAGTCTGAAAGCAATGACAATGACATCTGGTTGATAGGAAAGCTACGACAAGGAAGTAAAAACATGCACTGTCAATTTTGTGAAGACCCAACCGAGGTCCGAATCATGTAAATCGCGATATTCCTATGATTAAATAATAACGATAGATTAATTATGAGAGGGAGAGGAAAATCCCATAATTTAAACAACGCGGCACAAAATGTAGACAACGAGTCTCGGATGACTCGAACACGTGTTAAACTAACTGTCAATGTCAGAATGAAAAGTTATAATTCAGAGTCAAGTGGTCATATGCAGGTAGAACTTTGACCCCAGCTCTCATAAACAGTCAATCTAGGGAAACAATTTCTGAAAAGAGGGAAAGATTTAAGAGAGATAAATCATTGCATATGATCGTTCGAGTACCCAGATGACAGAAATCGCGAGTAACGGAGCTAAATTATGAGCGCGAGTCTTGCAATATTGTCAACAATCGACAGAACGGCGTCGAGCAGACACCTGGAATCGGACCTTTCTCGTGACCTGAGGCGGTCTCAGTTTATCCCAAAACAAAAGAGAGACCAATCGGGAAGCGAGAAAGGGGATGAAGGGCCAATCGGAAGTCCGAATAGTGGAAGAGAAAAACTATAAAAATCCGAAATCCGAGGTCAGGGGGGCTCTCCTCCGACTCCACGAAAGGTAGTGACTTCTATTGTGGTGTGTCGTCGCAAAGGAACTGTGGACTCCGCCGCTTATATCTTCCGATC